TGCTTTGTCCAAGGCTTTGTGGGGACCAACCCACTCCACCTCTCCCACATGTCCCTCCCACACTGAGTCAGAAAGACATGTCCAGCCTCTAAAAACCATAGTGGCATGCAGAGAGCTCCAGAGAGGAGTGACTTCTGACTGAAGAAGCAGGCATTTTCCCCCTAGGGTTTTAGGATGTGCCCTCAGAAAAACAAGGAACTGAGCAAGCCACTAAAAGCTGGCACTGCAAAGGCAATGACTTCAGCATGCCCAGCATTTACAGAACATCCAAGACCTTCTAAACAAACTGCCAATTAGCTTGTCTATAGGTGTCAAGCTCTTGCCATTAGAGCAGGGAGCCTTTCCCTGAATAACTGTCTATAGCTGAAACTATCTCTTGAGAAGTCCTAGAAAGGGATTTGACATTTTTCTTCAAATGCTTTTACACAGCAGGGAAGGTGAAATCCCTAGTGAACCAGGTTCCATTTTAATTTCTGGATGTCCATAGAGAAAGAAATAATATTGCTGACTATAATATTGTCAATAAAATAATGTTATTTCCATTACAGACAACATATAAAATTTTTTTTTGCTCCCTGGGGAAGAGGAAAGGAGTTGACAGTGTTTTTGTACAAAAACATCAGAGACCCAGTACAGAGTAAAATGATGGTTTAGGCACTGAAGAAATTTATCCAGTTTTTCCTGAAGAAAAATAACCCATGGCAAAAATTCAGTTGCCCACAAAAGGCACAGCTTCTTTGCAGGGAAAAAAGCTCAGGTTGGGACAATGTTGTGGCAGATATAGGTAATGGCAAGAGAGAAAATCCTGTTATTTAAAAATGCCACTTGTGCATCTTCTTACTTCCTAAGGCAAAGACATCTTTATCCAGTGCAACAACCCAGCTCACATCAAGGTGAATTTTCAGTAGAATGCTACGGCTTCCAGAACAAGTCATGAATATTTGATGTGCCCTTTAAATATCTTAGTACCATCTCTTTAAAAGAATTATCCTTGCACAGACCAATGAATCTTGCATAGAAATTTACTTCTCTCCTCTGCTTCCCTAACTCCCATTTTAAAAAGCATACAAATAACTTTCATCTAAGCATGTTTTCCCATCTAATCTCCAGAATGAAAAAGGAAACCTAATATTTTTCAGGTATTGTTAATCCTGCTTTCACACAGAGGGATGGATTAGCAAATCAGAGTCTCTTCAAGATCCTTTATTTTTTACTACTTTATGATCAAACCTGGTTTTGCTAGCATCAGTTCCCACAAAGGTTTTCTCTCCTATGTATTTATGTTTATATTCACTGAAGTAGCAGACTTCTGAGACTATCAGAAGTAAAATATCCCTTAATATTTTCTGAGTTCAGGCTCCTTCTCTATATTCTTTGCAGAAGAGAACATTATGAGCCCTTTTAAGCAGGACCCTTGTGCCATCCTGTCTGCATGACACTAATCCTGTAATGACACTAGAAGGCCAGATGGAGAGAATAGAAACTGATAGAGTGGTACATCCAACCTGCAGAACAGACCTTTGCTGCAAATGGTCTACCCTGCCCATGCCACCACCTTAGAAGAAACATTACCTTTGCTATTATCTGTATTACCTTTGAGAATGACCTGGCCTTGAGAGTGGGGACAAGCAGTACATGTGGACTCAAGCCCAGCTTCAGGGCTGATATTACACATAAATATCAAAGCAATCCTGGGTACTGCTATGGACTTGTCACCGCAGGATCTCAGTATTTTTTGACAGAGCTGTGTCCGCTCAAGTGGGAAATATGTTATTACTGACTAACACGAGTGAGGGACTGTGACCCAAATATTCTAAAGGGGTGTTCACAGAGCAGATAAGGGGCCAGAGCCAGATAGCTGTGCTGGCATGATATGCTAGCCAGCATGACTGAATTGTGTAACACAAATACCTGGTGATCTTTACCTCACTGAGGTGTACCCAAGCAGCCATACCCTCAGAGCACACCCAAAAAGGCACGTAGGGTCTTACTGCCAGCAGATAACAGTACTGGTTTGCTTCATTAGAAGATAGACTGTGAGGCTATGCAGCTTATGACTTACTTTTAACGGTAGCCATACGAACACAGAAATCATACCTACTCTGTAAAAATAAATCTTTACATGCAGAAGATTAAAACTTACACTGTCTGAGCGAACACCAAAATATTTCAGGAAAATGCAGAAGTTTCAAATCCAGAAAGAAACAATTAAGTGAAAGGAAGGAAGAAAAAAACCTTATGACTAAGAATGACAAACATATGGGGCTACAGAATCCAGGAAAATTTGTAGCATCTTTAAATCATCTCTCTGAAGAGAAGAAGACAACTTTGTAAGAGTGATTCTAGACAATAATAAAAAGCTGCTGTAAAACTTATGGCTTACTTATGCAATCTCCATTTACCATATATTTACTGAGGTTCCCTCTCTCGATGTTTCAAGGCACCAGCCTTTTAGTCTTTTCCCAGCAGCATGAAGAAAACCGGCATTCCCCTCGACCCATTCCCAACCCCGTTCCAGGCTTTTAAGTCACAGGTGACATAATTTGCTATCAGCTGCTACTGTGAATTCTAATGGATTATTATGCTGCCCACTGATCTGCTATGTCAAAATGGCTAATTAAACACACTGAAGAAAGACTGGTGATACCTCCGGAGATCCACCAGTGCAGCATGATATCCGATTTCAGCTGAACAAGAAAAGTGTCTCAGTTTCTTATCTTACAATCAACACACATTATAGACTTATTACAAGGTTGAAAAGTACTGTCTTCTATTTCCAGTATGAATATGCCATACGTAGGTTAACAAAATACTCTGATATTTAAATATTCCATTTCCATATCTACATTATTTTTTTAAAAATTATTAACGAAAGTCAGAAGAGCTAGCACACTATAAATGCATCTTTATGTTTTTTACCAATGAAATATAGATTCCAAGAGAAAAACCCAGATCTTTAACCTAAATATCTTTCCATTTACAGATGCAGTAGAGGTCTTCACTTTCCTTCAGTACCAAGGTCAAGCTCTGGAAATGGAAATAAATGTGGGTGTGGTGAGGGAGATCCTGAGTCCATTTTTAAACTGAGTTTATTTACAGACTTAAATCCCTGACCACATGATGACACTCCTTTGATCATTTCTTTGCATTTACCCTAATACAAGTATAAAATACACAACAATTTTAGAGGGCAGGATCAGACCAAATGTCTCTAATAATTTGTATGCTGTTGTGACTAGGGGTCTTCAGTGGTTGTTAAATATGTCCTATTCTGACCTGGAATTCCAACCCACTGTTTGAAGACATGAAGACGTCCCAAAGACAGCCTGCTACTAAGGCAGCCAGAGTACTACTTTTGTTCTGGGCAAAGGAGGAAATGGTTAGTGAAAGAGATCCTGCCAGTTGTTTGATGTGCAAAGCGATAAAAATTTAAGACACTTATTGATTTACCTCCACTGGCAGGCACAAGGATTGAACTAGATGTCCTTACTGGTTCTTTCTAGTTTGCTTACAGCAACTTCCCTAAAGAAGGCAAAGTGACAGGCTCCCTAGGCAAACCAAAATGAGACTTGCATATAAACAAGCTCAAGGCTTCTGACTCATGAATGATTAAGATGAAGAATATTGTGGAAGCAGTGGGGAAAAACAACTGAGCCATTTTCTTAAAAGACAGCAATTCTATGAAAGATGTTTCTGGCCTTACAGGCAACCCAACTGCTTCCTTACAAAAAAACCCCCTTGTGACAGCAGAGGTATTGAAAATGTACATGATGAAAGTGTACCAAGGGTAATGATCCTCTCCTGCCTCTTTTGGATGACCCTTCTCAAATTAGCCAAAACTACCATGGGGAACTTCTTCAATAAAAAACCTGTGTTACCACAGGTGAAACAAGGTACCAGGGGGTGAAGTTCATCAAAGGGTACCACTTGTTGCCAACCTCTATTCTGACACACAATCTGCAGTCGCAAGACAAGTGGAAGTTACTATTGATTTGTTCTGACTGCTTTAGAAGTGCAACCGCTTTCTGCTTCTCTCATCTTTCACATCATTAATTATCTTGAAAGAAAGCACGGTGTACAGACAAGGCTTGTTATGGAGAAAACTGTATGACTGAACATGAGGTGACAGTACAAGAACACGACTGCAGTACCACAGGATTAGCACAGGCAGATTATTTTGCCTTTAATAATGCCTCTGAAAGTATAGTCACTAATAAGCACTTCTGACACACAGACTAGTTCTCTTTGGTAATAAAAAGAAAGTAACCTTTCAGGAACTTTTCCACTCTTTTTACTGAATACATCCTGGATCACAATTTTTTAATTTACAGTCTTGGGCAAGAAAAAGACTGACTACTGAATTTCTCACCATCCTAACCCTGTCCTCCAACCCTCTGTCCAACACACTCACACATGCAGTCACGTGCAGATCCACTAATTCATGTTCTAGTCCTGCAACAGGCTCTCACAATGGCAACAAGAGCAGAACATGGAGCAGTCAGGATAGGTTCTAGAAAATTCTAGTTACAGCATGAGGTATAACAGATATTGCATTTCAGCTGTCAAATTTGGTTAGCAGAAGCTCTCCACAGAAAAATTCAGCCCTCTGCGGAAAACAACGTCAGCGATTGAAGACTCAGTACATTTCCTCTTATTCAGTCCTAGCCATAGCCTTGAAATGAAGTGATAAAGAAAGGTTCCTTTCAGCCTCAGTGCCCACATTTCAGAAGGATGTATCTATCTAATGCAGTATCATATACTCAGGAGAATAAATAAAACACTACAGGATTCTTGACTTCAGCTATCATTGGACTTCTTACAGGATTCTTGACTTCAGCTATCATTGGACTTCTTCCTTTTTTTTTTTTTTACCTCTAAACTGGAATGCTCTGAAACTGTGTTTACACACGCTGTTTAAGGATGCTGGGTGTTCCCTAGAGTCTCACATTCATTTCTGCTCAGAATACCCAAGCTCCTCTCAGCACAACTTCCCCTTTTACCTTCTGTCGTTGCTGAATGTTGCTCATTGCGTCTGGCTGAAACTCCAGCTTGTCTGTTCGGCAAAGTTTCCAGTATAAAATAATAACGATCAGGAGCACCACAGCAACTGGGACTGCCACACCAACGATAATCCACAGGTTGCTGTTCTGTGACTCTGAAGCGGACTCCTTCAGCTTCTCCACAGCTGTGAAGTAAAAAAGGAAGACAAGCAGTATTATGTGGTTATATTTTAAACTGAGGACACTTCAAGGTTATGTATTTTTATGTTCTTATAAAAGCTAGTTAAAGAACTTATCAGAAACCAGCTGCACATCACAGGAAATGTCACACCACTTACACGTTAAGGTATGTCATGCTCAGGAAGCATGGGGCAGGTGGATCGATTGTCCTGGCCTACCTTCAGAAGACCTGTGCTTAAAATACTAATGAAAACGCACTTCTGCCACATTATTCTGTAACCCAAAGCTGAGCTGACACAGTGAAATGGGTCTAAAAAAAGACTCTACCACTGACAAAGGTAAGATGGACTTTCAAACATTTTTGCCTGTTTCCTGCTTTAAGCGGTATTATCAGCTGCCTCTTCTCTTTAATGATACATTTTGTTACCTTCCCCATCAATAATCACAATCAATTTGAAATCAGTGAGACCTTCCTCCCCAACATGTATAGTTCTGCGTTTTTCATTACTTTTTTTCTTTTCCCTGTTTCATTGTCAGTGTGTGAGATCCCTTAGCCCCAAACAGAGAACAAAACTACTGGAAAGTGTAATCAAACAAGTCATGCCTGTAAAAAGTAAACTGGAAGAACTGACAAAACTTTCATTTGCTCTATTTTGCATAGTGGTTAGATGTGGAACTAAAAACCAGAGCACTAATACATTTCTTGTCAAACTGCTGCACTTGTAAAAATGATGTTTTCAAGTTAAAAAGAGTATTTATATGCATTTATTTGTATATACTATTTTATTAAAAGCCATTCTAACAATGAATCTAGAGCTTAAAGGAACATATAATTCTCATATTTTATACATCTGACAGCTCATTTACGACATTATGTTTTCTGTTAAAAAATAACCCTTTTTTGTCTAGTTTCTTCCAATAAGAAGCATTTAAAGACTTCTATGATTCTATGACTCTTAGAAGAACTTTCTAATGACGTGTCAAAGATAACAAGCTTCAACATGCACAATAAACTATAAATACTTCATGAAGTTTGTTCAACATATCATTTTTGTAAAGAGAATTTATTCTTGCAACTTTTTGCATTTCTGTCTAACCAGTATTATAGTCCATTAATGGATACTAAGCGGATGTATATGAGCTACTGACCTAATCTGTACACAACTGTTTTAATGAGGGACAAAATTTAGAAACACATCCAGATGGTGCAATTATTACTATTTTCTTTCTTTCCGCAGAGAATTTTAAAAATCAGACACATGTTTGTTCTGTTGGCAAAATACCCTGTGGTACAATGTAACTCATGCCTCCATATTGCACGGAAAAGGTAATTAAGCATTCATACCAATGAGGTATTTTGCGGATCATACTTGTCTGTTCCTGTTTTAAAATACCTTCAAGTGTTCTTTCCTAATTGTAATGCGGAATTTTGAGTAGTCTTCTGTCTCACTACTTACTGAAGCCTCCTGAATAAAGTCATTATGTAACTTTATATGACCTGTAATATTTATTCTGATGTGTATCTAGTTAAAGATCACATTACTTCTACATTATATTCATTAAAAGATCACATTACTTATATATTACTTATGGGTAAACAAATAAAGTCAGTCATAGTGTAGATTAGTGTACATTTTTTACTCACAGAAAAAGTAATTCAGACAAAAAAACCCCAGCAACTTGTGCTAAACTTCACTGCTATTACTCAGCTAAAGGAAACACCTATCTCACACAGATGCCCTCCCATCCCACAACGCTGAGGTTTATGTAATCTCCTGGGTAAAATAAACTGTAAAGAAATACTGGACTAGCAGGAAGAGATGAAAATGACAAGAAGGTATTTAGTTAGCACAGCACTCTTCTAGCTCAAGCACTAAAGTGAACACAGCGAGGCTTGACTTAAGGACCCTGTTGCAACCCCAAGCTCAGCAGTCTTCAAGAAGCAAAGCGACACCTCATAACTCACTGCACGGCTGCTAAAATTTATTTCCTCAGGAGTGTCAAAGCTGCAGCATTCCAAGAACAAAACACTGCAACAGTGGGCACTGTGCAGTGCCATAACCTACAAAGCTAATGTCACCCTTCCTGTTTGTCTTCGTTGGCATCAGTGTGGTTTTGACAGGGCTTACGCTGTGCAACGGTGCCATCGATGCGGTATCCAAGGATGATTGCAGCCCGCTGGATATCAACTCTGTTCATCAGGTCTGAGCACTTCAGAGCGCTCAGTCTCTCTCCATCTTGGTCTTCCACGAAATATATCAGCTCCACGGGGTTATCAACACCAACTAATCGCGACACATTCACAATCTGAAAAGAAATTGGAAAGCTTTTACATTTTAAGTTGTATTTATTTGGCGCTCCCATGGTCTTTCAGTCCATACTCTCTCCTCTTCCTTCCTTATCTCAAAATAAATACTGGTGCCGTCTTGGCAAAGCTCTTCAAAGTATTTGTCTAGTCACAGTGTGCAAACCCCACTGCATAAAAAAGATTTCACCTTGTTTGTATCATGTAGAAATACAATTGTTGTTAAAGAAAAACCCTTTATCTGTGACACTAAATAATATGGTATTATACTAACCATGTAACTGCTATGAAGTAGTACAGTTTGGAAATTGTTAATATCCAGAGAAGTCTGATGGGAAGATGTGCTGTGTGTAGTGCTCCAAAACACTGTATACAGCAAAGGGAACATAGACACCAGCTACTTCTCCCACCTGAGAAGAGCTCAAGTCAACACTGGACAAACAGAGCTAATATTCAGCAATAATAATCTGCTTCCAAACTAAAATTCAGGATACTTTCACCTAGTACTTATACAAAAGATTCTGAGTGGAAGTCATCCAGAGGAAGACAACATTGCTGGAATAATATATAAGAGCCTAATTACACAGGCACTACTCAAGTGCTCCAGAATCCTGGGAAATTTACAGAAATACCTATTTTGTAACTGAAAGGAAAATTTCCAGGGAAGCAATCCCTTGTGTAATACATTTTTATGGCAAATATGAAATTTCAATTTTCCCCCTCACCATTTGTTTCATAACAACATACAGATCTGATAAGCAAGAGAACTGCTTTCACTCTATAGATGCCCACACTGTGCCACCCTGGAAGCCTCTACTGCCTTTAGCAATTGTCACTTAGTAGGAACTACTGAAGAGAATAGTGTGACTGCACTTTTCCCCTTCTCTAAATACCTACTTTGACTTTGATTTGTTATTCGTAACACACACCTCTTTGTTCCAGTTTTTCCAAACGTTAAGCAGCCACACAAGCGAATATTCTGTTAGCATCAAATAAAACTGTTTGCTCTGCCTCAACAAAAGCACTTGCACAGTCACCTTCATCCTCCAAACGCTCCCCCTGGCATCCACCTTTCTTCAGGAAGGAATGTATTTGACGCTGTGGGAAGCAATTCTTCCTACCTAGTTCTAAAGACATTAATAATCAAAAGAATGCATGCTATGAGGAAGCCCTGTAGATACTCTCTAACCACCAAACATCTACATTGCATATGAGAATCACATAACTTTGAATTCCTGTAAAATTAAATCTTTATATATGACAACTCTCCTCATTTTAATCATTTACACATAATGGTGAGCTCAAACAAGAACCAGGCCAAACAAATAGTGGGAGGTATTCTATCATGTAAAACAGAGTTTTAAGAACTCTAGAAGTAATTGGCACAAATAGAGCGATGTATTTTGGTTCTTTCAAAATTACCTTTTTGCTATGAAGTACATATTTAATAAATTCTAATCTCAAACACTGCCCATAGGCTTCAAGTAAAGTAAACACAAAAATGTTTGCATGTCTGAGGCTTACAAAAGCATAGCTTTGTATTGTTTTCTTTCCTAGTTTCCAACTAAACAATCACGTTGAAGGAAAGAAGTGCAATGTTCTAGCTTGACAGGGATGATATTCTGGTCTTTGGGGACACCACCTCAACATGTCCTAAAACAGCATTTTTCAGGATGGTAACAGCAAGTTATACATGTATAAAAAAGGCAGTGAAAAAAAAAAAAAAAAAAAAGGAAAAAAAGAAAGCACAATTGTCATAAAAGTCTTCTAGGACAAAGCAACTGAAAGCAAAGAATATTGTTCAGTGTCTGTCACATCTGATGTAAGAAACAGAGTGTGTACAAACAGAGCAGAAAAATGTGCAAATTTGAAAAAGAGCAAGACCTGCTAACAGGACCCATTAACCAACACTGCTGCTCATCCTGAATATTATTCACTATTGTACCAGCTAAGAGGCAACCAATCCTCAATTTAAGGTAGTAAAACAATATCAATAAATAAGGTTTCAACACACATTCAGCAGCTGTAAGGCTGAATGTGGTTTCATGGACTCCAAATATATAATTCGTTAACGAATGTCCACAGCTTTGTATTATTTTTGCTTCAGTGGGTTGCCACAGCCCAGCCTCAGTGCACAGAGCAGCAGGGTGTATGGACTGGTATTTGCTTTCAGCACAGATGAAACCTTTCTGAACAGCATTTAACTCACACAGAGGGTGAGGGAGTTGAAAGGCCACATGTGAAAAATCGTGTTCTTCATTTTAATTTTATGAAACCCCTCTGTGCATAGCAAAGCTAGAGAATCAGAGAAATTTAGAAGATTCTTAAAGTGAATTGTCATGTATTTTATGGTGCCTGTGAAGCACACAAGAAGCACTATGATTACGTGTGTTATACACACTGGGTAAAAATCAGAATCTGACTGAATGGGTTAATAAGAAACTTCTCCACCGTTGCCTTTAGAAAGGGCAGGGGATAAGAAGGACAAGCTTCCAATGCAAGTTGCCACAACTGAAACTATACAATTTTTAACACAAAATTAAAAACAACAGCATATGGTTCCCCATGTTGAGGAACAGAGATGGGTAAGAACAGCCAGAACAGAGACAGGAAGAAGTAGCTGGAGGTATTTCAGCACAGTATAGAGAACATGGCTGTAAGAAACTCAGTGGAGGTACAGGCTAGTATTTATGAACTAAACTCATCATTTAAAGTTTTATGGGTACCTCAGTTTTCATCTCTGTCACGCTGATTCACTAGATTTTTTTTATTGATTGTTTTAACTAACCTCTATGTTAGCTGCAACACAGAAAATGGCATGCTGGATCTGAACTGTTTTAAGTATGCTCACAGAACTAAGGCACATAGTCACTGTGCCTATATTTTACACAGTTTCTGTATATTAAGTTTTGTGGCATATAGTTCCAAATTACACTCTTTGCACAGCTTCAGACTGGTTTTGTCTCTACCCTTGAGAGTGCTAAGAATGCAAGCAGAAATATTTTCCAGGCATCCAGCAAAACAGCCTATGTGTAAGGAAGCATTTAAACATTTTAAATTTATGCTCTGGCAGTGAGGGATGACAAAGGGAGGGAGGACAGAAGAATTTCAATACATGGGAGGCAGAAAGTGGGGGAAAAAAAAAGAAAAAAAGAAAATACTAATTCAACTTCTGTGCACATAAATGATACCACTTTTGTTGATACTAGATGTGCATTTAACCTCCATAGAGGAAAGGTTTAACTGTGTTCAGGTGTCAGCAAATTTAATTTAAAAAGTGTTTTCAAGTGAATATCATAGGTTAGTGAACAGAGTTGCCTTGGTAACCAAATCTAGTTTGTAATGTAAAGCGGGGAAATCCAAGGGGTAGGGAAGCTCCCAAGGTGTTCGCAGGGGTCAGTCAGTCAGTGAGATGTCCTGGTGAGCAATCCACAAGGAGCAAGGAACCCCTGGATGAACTGTTTCAGGGTTTCAAAGGCATGAGCACCACTTAGACACAAGCAAACATGCAGACACAACCTCCAAAATGCATGCATGAGGGTTATTTTCCTCTTCGCTACATTCATCCCCTTGGGGAAAAAAATCATCAAAGCAGATTCTGCTTTCTGTCTTACTAAAAACAGGATTTTAGTGTCTGGGCAATTAAATCGAGCTGTATTGGGGTCTGAACAGCACACAGAGGTAGGAACAGCCTATGGGTTACCTGACAGAGGGGCTGGTTGCTGCCCAGGGTGGCGATTGGAGGGGTGAAAAGCCTCTGAGGAAAAGGTGAAGCAGCAGCAGTCCCCAAAAGCTTTATTTATAAACCTAAAAACTCACAGCAAGACTGGGGCTTTCCTCAGATTACACACTTGGGAGAGACATGTAAGCTGTCAGTAGAAAAACAACAGAATGAAACTTTGCCTTAATGAAAAGCTCAATTACGTCCCCTCATAGCTGCTACTTTACACATTGCAACTAACATACTACTTAACATGTTCCTTAAATCAGAACATTGCTCCTTTTGTCATTTACTGGGATCATCTTTTCACTTCTACTAGGTTCGAAAAACCAAGCACATTGAAATGAAGGAAAATTACTTAATTTTTTTTTTATTAGTTCCTACTGTATTTTTAAACTACAATTAAGTAATTTAATTCCTAAAGAAAAGTAATGAGAATCGAGTTATTACAGTAAGCTATTGACAAAACATAGCACAGGTCTTAATCTCTGCAGAGGCAATGCAAACCACATTAAGCATGTGCCTTCAAATTTGCAGCAACAGCAGATGCACACTGAAAATATGTATGATTTACTAAGTGAAATATTAATACACATCATACAAAAATCAATGGAACTATCTCATATATAACAATCAGGTGTGAGGTTTCAGGTTTTTTTGTACGTAATGGTTATAGGCTTTTTTCTCTTTTTATCATGGAATGCCACCTGTTAATAGCACAGATAGGCAAACAGGAGGGGAAAGGATGATATCTGGGCACCCTCCAAAGACCTTATTCAGAGTGTCTAGACTTAAAGTACAATTTTTTCACATTCTTAGATACTAACCCATGCCTTTAGAAATGAAATCTAAACCTCACAACGTATCACTTCTATTTCCTTAGTCTGTGAAAGGAAACTAATATGCCTGCAGTAACATTCACAAGTAATTGCTTCACCTTCTGACCTGCAGTCCTGATTTTCCACAGAGCTTAGAAATGTCACATTTCAGTACACTATAAATATCTATCACCCCAGGAAAAACTCTGGTCTATGGGGTCACAACACAAGCAAAATATAAGTCTAGTCTTTAATGGATATATGCACATCCTGTTAATAAAACTATCCAACACTTTGTGTTGCTGGCAGCTTCTGTTCTTATTTTCACTTCCTTGTGCTCTACTATCATAGCAGTCACTGTATGGTGTGCAAGAAATATATGTGGGAAAATCTGAATATAAAGCACAAAATACATTACTAGCTCTCCTGGAAGACACAAACAGATGCAAAAATACAACACACTTCTAACAGAACTTATAAACTTGGCTACGAGGAACAGAATTAGCAGCAGTAAAAGGTTTATGGCAAATGACTATGGACCAGATCCTCAAGTGACAGAGAAACATCCTTGAAAGAAACTGTCCTTTACCCACTACCAGGTACGTGAGTCCAGCTGCACACAACAGCCTCCAAGGTTGCCTCACCTGCCACACATCCTGCCAAAGCAAGCTCCCAGGATGCTACAGTACCTGACAGTACCTGCTGTTCTCCTACAGGAAAGCAGGACACCTACCTCAGACACCTTGCAGCAAGGTATCTCTTCAGCCTTCATTCTTCCACATCTCCTTTATTACAGTTCTAACCCTGTTTAAAAGTGTGGGCTGCGACCACCTGGAGAAGCCCTGTGTTACATGGGATGGCAAGATGTGCTGATTGTAATGAAGACAATCTTCCTCTGCCCAAAGCCAGCAGTTGGCAGACTTTTTGCACTAATTAAGTGTCATAAATGAGCAACACTGTTTACTGGAACATGAGCTGCAGCCCTCATTTTATGTCCCAGCAAGTAATACAAAGTCAAAAGGAAAATGCTGTCTTTTCACTTTCCCAAATACTATTCTTCAGCTAAAAAAGATATGCCCGTAATTTTGTGCATGCAGAAATAAATTACCTGAGCTTTATTATCTAAAATCATGAAATCGTAATCTAAATATACACATTTTATAGGCTGTGGTTATCTTTCCTAGCAACACAAGGAATATTTCTTTAATTTATATGCAAAGGCATAAAGAAAAAAGCGCAGTAAGAGGTGCTGGGAATAGAAGACCTGCAGCAGACATCTATTTACAGCAATTCAAAGCCATACAGAAGAAAAATAAAATAAAGTCTCTATTACAGAAACAGATGTTTCTGAGACAGGAAAACAAAAGTAAGAATATCCCAACATCTGGAGATTTAAGTGGTAGCAAAAACTGTACAATTAAATTAAATAAAGATAATAGGTCTGAACGCCTAGAAGGGCATCTGCGAGGTAAACCAACTGTCATTGAATTAGCTGGAAAAGGTAATTTTTAAGAAGATGAGCCATTAAAAAGTACTTTGGCTTTTGGTTTGTAGAACTGACTAGAAACATCACATGCCAGAATTTAAATCTGAAAATAAAATACCCAAGTCTTCTTGGACTTTATGTGAATAACTCCATCTGTGACAAAACCCTAAAGCGGCACTGGAATCCAGGTAGTAGAAGTTGCCATGTGTGCAAAATTTGACATGATTAATTGTTTTTACCTGAAAGTCAGCCCTGTGACCAGGAGTCCTGTGACAAATAAGAAGTTAAGGGGCAGAATATACTACTCTATTGCTGCATCAAGCTACACACGATTCTATTTCGTATTTCTACACCACTACCAGAACACCACAGAGAGTTGTGAAGTAGCTGTTCCAGCAGAGTACTTTCTTTCAGATGACCATCCCATCTCCTTTCGCTAGGCACCTTGGGTAAGTCAGAGTAGATAGAAACTTTCTAAAATAGGATTTTGGTAAAATAATTTTCAATGTTGTTTTTAAGAAGTCATCAGAAATTTTCAGTAGATGCTTACAATAATGAGTTATTTACATTTGTTATATTTACCTTAAAAGACAACAAGGTATTCATAAGAACTATATTTTAGGTGCAGAACACAAGTATCATCAACTAGCTAAATGTGATACACGCTTTTGACTTATATTTCTCAACTCAAAACCTGGACAATATTAGTTTATTCAGTAATTTATTACCCTTTCTATTTCTTTCTCTGATTCTGAGCTTGTAATACCTGCACAATGTTGCTTCCTGCAAAGCTGGCTCGCCTCCATATCCGCCCTCTGACCAAAGCCTCGTTCAGCAGGTGAGCAAGTTTCCGCTCCATCTCAGCCCGAAACACTTCCTCCTGAATTCGCTGGTCGACGACACCCAGGAGAACTACATTGCACAGAAACAAATTAATTAGCAAAACTTTTCAGTGTCTTTTCTGCAACTTCAGTTGCAGGCTTTGAGTTGCCCTGTGACAGCTCATGGACAATTCAAGAGCAGCTGTATTCACATGGGAATACTGTCCTGTTCAGCCGGAGGTTACATGTTGGAAAGGAAGGCATTGGGTGGGAAAAAGTTAAAAGAAGTTTAAAAAAAAGAAAATTTGGCAAAGGATTTTTTTGGAATCTTAACTAGGCTATACAGACACAGGATATTGAAGAAACAGTTTCAATTTCGAAAATACATAAAATTATGAGCACTCAGTGAATTGTTAAAAAACTAATAGAAAATTTAGTCTAAATTTCAGTCAAAGAGTTGGAGATGGTGAGGACAAGGCAGAATCATGAAGAAAAAGTATAACAGCAGCATATGAACGAAGCTGTGCATTCAAGTGCAACTTCCCAAGATCAAGATAAACAAGCATGCCAATCACAGCACAAAAATATGGTTAGTAGCCCTGCCCACTTCACTTTCCAACCCAGGTATCCTGGATCACTGGGGCAGCTAGTGATGAGAGGAATTCCCAAGGAAACATGAAAAAAAGGGTGGATGTTTACTGTCAAGATGGCATCCAGCTAAAGAAATGTGGAGTGAATGAAGTCACAGTCATTCAAATGACCTAACTGAGAAATCCTATAGGATAGCAAACCCACTCACTGCTGACTGAAGTAACAAATTCAGTTTTAATTCCTGTGCCTCTCCACTAAAACGATTTATATTTTTTAGAAGCCACTCTTTCAGTAAGTGTTCCCACATTTATTTTTTCAAGTTTGGTGCTTAATAAAAAGCCATCCAATTAGATCAAATCAATTAAATGTAATTTAAATTTTTTTAGTTTTTAAAACAAAAATATCAGAAGCAGTTTTTCAACGTCAAGCTTTTCACTGCATATGTCAGAAAAAGGAAACATTTTCTTGATTTCTCACAGAGATCAACAGCATCTGTCTTCTAAATCCACTCACAGACTAAGTATCTCAGAATTAAATTGCAAAATATTTAGACAGTGACCTAAGGCTATTATATACACCAAGCTGAAAACTGTTCCTGCCTATGTATTGGATTTCAGTATCAACAAATTATGCTCAATAGCATGAATTGTACTCTACGAGTGAGAGGGAGAATTACAGAGAACACTGCATATCCCAGCGTTTTATGACTATTGGGAAACATGCAAATATATCTGAGTAACTTGATATTAGAAACCTTTACATGCAAAAATTCTATCATTTCCCTGTGTCATGATTCATTACCCTTACATTGACTGAAAGGACTGATCCAGCCAAAATCTACTAGCTCTTCCCAGACTGCCTTCAAGAACTGGGATTGCAAAAAATTCCTCTACAGCAAAATGAAAAGTTGTTGCAATTAGCTTTCAAAATCTTACAGTCAGGTAGTTTATAAAAATCCAAGGGGACGTGATTTCTGAGCTGGAAGAACCCTTTTCTTACTGTAAGATCTAAGGGAACTTCCAGCAGCAAGGGACAAACCTAAGGCTGAGCAGAAGGGGGAGGGAGTGTTAGAAAAAAAGCCAACATAAATCCCTAAGGAAGGGACATTGGATATTAGACACACACATGAGCTTCTCTCCTGCTAGTGAGCATTATCTGAAATTCTAAATCTTTCTTCTGTAAAACAAATTGCGTGGGCTTCAGAAATTAAGCTACAACTTCATTTCCTGCTTAAAAAGTGATCAGTGGTGAGAGGAGACAGAGATGCCTGAAAAAAAGGTAAGTTTATGCAATAGGTGAACTACAGGTGATAAAGCTGTAGTAAGACAAAGGTGTATACAGTGGGACATCTGCACCCTAAGAGCCAGTTTGATAGGCACAACCGGTCACCATTTAGGCTTAAAAGCAGCAGGTAGGACCTACAGCATGCAGGCAACCTCAACAGCCTTTGAGCATCTAAAGGTGACAGCTCAACCACATCTGTGAATGACAGAATAAAACATTCAGAAGACTTTGGTGGGAGGGACCTTCTACAGATGAATCAGAAGAGATCAATGAAATGTGATGAAACTCTTTCATGTACTGTTTCACTCTGTTTTATTCCTGGCGTGTTTTGGTAGAAAATGCCACGCAAGTAAAATTTTAATTTTCACTTAAAACAAAATAAAAACCTAAAAATCAATGTGACATATTGGCAGCATGCAGAGCAGACACTTTATGCCTGACAGTCTGAGTTGTTTCACGAAGAATGAACTGCCTTATAGACAAAAACTGCTTTGCATGCATTATCAAGGATTTGCAGTAGTTAATTCTAGACCAGGGAATTACATTTCCCAGATATTCCAGGTCACTAGGCTTTTGGTTTTAGAATTTCTTCAGCTCAGACATTTATTACCTCATAAAATTGCAGCACCCCAAGCTATCAATATTTATGTAGGCTAGTTATCCCACTAATAAACATAATTGCACTCTTACTTACTCAGAGACTGTACATACCTGTTCTCACCCAGGAAGATTTCATCAACTGAGACACATTAAGCTTCGGATAATGAAAGGCTGAGGAAAAAACAGAATGGAGGAAAAACATCCATAAGAACAGTATTCTCAACAACATAACAGACACAAAAAAAGAAGCCACTTCATAATTTATACTGTCAGCAAGCATCTTATTTACACAGATGCATTACTGCTCCTGAGGCAATGCAGACACAACGGTAAGGAAAGTGCTCCAAACATACACTCCCCAGTTCATCTCTAACAAAAAGAAGCTAACTGAAACAGTCAGATTTATTATGGGAAAGATTTCAAGCTGCTGCACTGAGGTCATTGCTCCTAGAAATTTAAAAGCTCAGTGTCTGAATTCTGACTCTTACTGAGCTAGCTGCAGGATCAGACTTTTGCTCAAAGGGCAATGAGGCAACTCATGAGTGTCTCAGGATGAAAATAAGACCTTCTCTGAGGCAGAAACTACATGGAAGCACTAAATGTAAAGCAGAGAACTAAATACATATGATTTGTGTTCCAGACTTGTGCAGGGGGAAGCATTTAAAAAAACCACACCACCTTGATCTAAAAAACAAAACAAAAAATTAAAAAACCCCCAAACACAAATAAGTGCAGGTAGAAACGTTGCTATAGACCAATCTCGTGGACTTTTGTGTTTGGCTTGGTGGGTTCAAGCTTAATTTCTAAATTTTTCCAAAAAACCACTGCTCCAGAGTAAAATCCTTGCTCCAGTGAAGTAAAAATATCTATTTCTACTGACTTCAGTATGGATAAGATTTTTCCCAAGGTTTCCACTGGAGAGCAGTAAAGACATGTTGGGAAAGAAGTGAAGATGGGGGCTGGGCCAACAGTTTCCTCAAGGGAAGTTTTAAGCTTCACTATGGCAATATGGAAAAGGAACCGTCTTAACTTTCTCAAAATATTTAATCCAGATGCAGTTTGCTAAGCATTATACAAAGGTTAATTTTTAAACCATTTCATGGATAGAAAGAATGCAGCACACAACAATTAAATGACCTGGCCCATGTTGGATCAATTTAGAGTAAAGACGTCTTCAGTTGTAGAATAGTTTGCCACTATCACATGTTTCAGAGAAACAGAAAATGACAATTTTTCTAATTTAATGATGCAGTAATTTATAGAGAAGCTGTCCTCTGTCAGTGTACCTAAAAACTGATTCTTTTGCCCCTTAAAAAACTTAGGAATTCTTTTGCTAAGGCAAAAGCCAAAGAATCACTAGTTACATTTACCTTTTATTTTCATAGATTTATAAATATTCCTATTGGGAATAAAAATTTGGTTCTGCCACCTTCATTTCAATAACAGCACCACTGGTTTCAAGAGGACCACCTGAGGGGTACTTTGTGACTTAGTATTCAGAAGGGTATCAGAACATGGTCCGTTTTTTCTGAACGGGAAACACTGGCCCTCTATACAAGTGACGAGGATGCATTAAATTTCCAAAACTCTCAGACACACAAAAAGCACCTCACAGTCCATTTAAACACACACATTTATTTTTGGCATCCTGCTACTTGATTCCTCTGATTGTAGTTTTTCGATTGGAATTCTATTTATTCTGGTCACACAATTGTTTACTTCAATTTAGATATACAACCTGAACAAAAAAGCATAAACTAAACTCAATCTGTTGTTTTCCAAAGCATGGAAAGAGCCTGATAAGGAAATCAAAAACCTTACAGTGACCATAATGCTTTGAACTGCTTGCAGTTGCGAGCTTTTTCTTCTTTTAAACTAAAATCATGTTTTGCTTCAATACTTAATGTGCTCTTCACACTTTTTCTAATTAGTACTTGAAAATGATTTAATTCATGCAAATTGCTGGGTGACTATTCACTTAAACTTTTCACAGAATTAATGCAATTTAAAAATAAACCAACTTGAGCAGAAAATCTTGACACTGAAAAGGAAGATGTGCTGTGATTATCGGCAACTAAGGCTGAGTTCTAAAACCCGAAGAAGAATGCACGAAATAATGGACACTTGTACAGCTGAGAAGTGCTCAGAAGCAAATCCAGGTTCTAACTCTTATTCCACAGGTCACTCATGTGTCCCACTAACACACATGTGGTCAGATTATGAGCTCATCTGGAGTCTCAGCACTGCAGCAAGATCATATTTGCAAGATTTCTAATGTCCCCTGGAACTAACAATTTAAACAGCACAAACTGATTGTTATTCTGAGGGGGAAGCTGGATAGACAAAATGCAATTATTAGTTAGATTGCAGCTGGTCTGCTAATGACTATAGATGCATTAATGAAGTAGATGCTAGCATCATTAGAAGATTCTAACAGGCAGCCCTGAAGCACCATACCGTGTAACAGCATCGATTCAACGCTGACTGAAAAGGCAAAGGGTCACCCAGTCACCCAGAGACCTACGGACAGCAGTCTGAAGCACATCACTCAGGCAGCGTGGCCTTTGCCAGATGCTCCAAGGATTTCTGACTCTCTCCTACAGAGATGTGTGGGACCACGCAGGATAGAACCTGTATTATGTTGATTGTTCTTATTTCTCATAAATGGAGGAATGGTAATAAAAAGCATGGAGGGAATGCAGTATTTGGGGAAAGAAGGCATTAACTGAATAATAAGATTCCATGCAAATACCAGGGGTGTGAGCAATAGCAACACACTGTGTCTGTTAGAAGCCTGATCCAAAACTGCCAAATATTTCTGCAGTCTTTGGACTGTATCATACAATTTCATATTATCCTATTGGCCTTGCAATATCTCTATGACAGCCAAAATAGATGACATGCATCAAAGTGCTACTTAGCACTGAAAAAATAGCAAGTCCCAAGGCAACTCTCTCTATTTAAAGTCATAATAAAAACAAAGAGATTTATTCAGGGGAAGTTCATGAAGGCAAATGCTGCTCATCAACTCCACAGCTAGCCTCTGCCTGTCCTTCAAGACATTTTCCAGCCATAAAAAGATAATAAATACGTTATTTCCTATTATTTTTAATGAACTAGCACTCAAAACCTGTGATTAAACTTGGTTTTCTTTCTGCTGACATGTAGGTCATGACCATCTAACCAACTTACAATCTGAAACGTGAAATATAAGGTGGACAACATAAAATAAGCATGCTGGAAGGTGTAAACCTGACATTTGAATGTAAGTATGTTGCTGAAGTCACATAGAAGTCTTGTGAGGAAAGAAGAAAGTCTGGAAGTTTCCAGGTTTGGTCATTTCAACAGCCCTATTCCTGCACAGAACAGTCCAATTCTGTCAAACTAGCAACTTTCACTACTGATCCTGACTCTGAGTGGGGAAAAAAGCAGACAAAAAATTCCTGGTGCTAATGATGTACTGCACAGGGACAAACCCACATAGTTAAAAGTATAATCAGTTATATTTACGTGAATAAAAACAGTGAGAGGACTGTGTGTGAAAGGCAAAGCAAAACAACAAGTGGCAGGGAGCAAATAGATTTCTTCCAACAAGGTTCATATTCAGGATATTGATGTGAAGGTCTCACTTCACTTAACAGAGAAGTGCACAAGCAGCTTTTCCTCAGTATGTATCAGCTTCAACCCCTGAAGCTGGGAGTTGAGCCCTGACAGCTCAGCTCACCTACAAATATTTTCTTTTTCTTCAGATGCAGGCTATAAAATCATATACAGAGCCCTAAAGGGGAAAAAGAAAAGTTACCACCAAGAGTATTACCTGTTAGCATGCCTGATAACTAAGGCACAAATGGCATAGAACAGTATGGCATGGAACATTTCATATTTACACAGAAACAATAACATACGTAAATTGTTTATATGTGAATATCCGTGATTCCCAGAAAAACTCATACTGAAAATAGAGGGCTGCATATTAATTTGCACAGACTAAAGCAGCTGTCTAAGGAAGACCTTCAGAACACCTTCACTGCTACAACTGCTTGGTGGACCAAGGCAGAGCATGAATGCAGAGATTTCAGGGTCTAGAAAACAAAAACATTGAGGCGTCTTCCTGCCAAAGTAGCTTTGAGGATCTGGCTGTTGGTCACCTTCAACAGACTGTTGAATAAGATGTCTCAAGAAGGATCTGCCCAGTGCTGCTGAGCCTTTGGACAGGATTTCTGGCTCTGAATACTGAAGATCTAAAATCCTTAGGCTCAAAATACAGTCACAGCAACAGTGCAAACAACTGCAGAAACAGCTAAAAATAACTGGGTGTGGTTGCCTCACTGACAAAAGCGTTTGAGCTACATTCATTAATACTGGGCTCACTGACAGATGGACCCATAGGTCTAATAGTATGAGAAACTGTGCTCCCACTTTGCCAACTTATCAAACAGCACCATATCTGGTATTCCAGAACAGTGGCTACAAACACATCGAGGCACTACTGAGACCAAATTAGAGCAATTCAAACCAAAATGTGCTGTCCTGCAGTGGGCTCAATCTACAGCAAATTTGAGTTCCTCTGACAACAAGCAAGTCAAATACTGACAAGATATTCCTTAATTTAGGATGCCATATCCACCAAATCCACATGTTTTCTACATTGCAAAATTTGGGAAGACCTCATTATTCCTAAAAATCCTGACCTCCTCACTCTTTCTACTTTACTTGGCTTTCTCATTGACATGTGAGCTACCACAGGACTCCACCACCATTGCTCTGGAATCATCACGAGGCACTATACACATGCAGGTAACACAGGTAGAGCTCCTGCTACAAGCAGGAAATTTCAAATTTCCTCAGTACCATCAAAAAAGGAAAAAAATAGAAACATAGAATTGTTTGGGCTGGAAAGGACCTTAAAGGTCATCTGGTTCCAACCCCAAGGAGAACAGTGTACATGCATTTTCAGTAGGAACACTTTTCCTCTATGACCACCTTCTCTTTCAGGATACACTGGCCTTGGTAGAAATTGTTATCACTTAATTGCACTGTAGCTCCATTGCATAATCCAGAAGATGGATTTGCAGCAAAGGGCAACCTGCAAATGCACTAGAAATTATAATTTCAGAATATGTGGACAAAACTGAAAACCGTAAGACCCAATGTAGTATATCACAGGAGAAAAAAAGCCCCACAATCAAATATATTACCCAAGAGACCAAAAATTAAATAAATTCTAGGTCAAACGTTTAAAAGAGATGACACAGAGCAAAGAGAACTGTCTTTCAAGCAATCAAGGCAAGAGCAACATTTAATTTGAATTCAGTGAGGAAAAAAAGACCACAACCCCACAACCTGAGACGTTCTGTGGCCTCGCAAGAACAAAAGAAATGCTAGTCATTTATGGACAGGGATTCTCAAGACTTTTGGTCCTGGTTGCATTAAATACAGCTACCACTGCACAGGCTCCATTAAGTACAGCTACCACTGCACAAGCACACACTCTATGTGAGACCAAATGAGAGCAGAAATGCTTAAAGAAAATGAGTCAACAACCTCATACATTTTTAAATTGAGTATGGTAGTAGAGGGATCAAAATTACTGAAACATTAAAATAAAAAGCTTCAAAAAATTAGTACTTTTAAATTACTTCTAGTAAATGGGGAAGTATCCTGTGCATCTTACACAGATTGAAAGATGTTAAGTAGAGCAATTTCTGTTGACAGTCACTCTCTTTATAGTATCTTCACTGACATACACAGCTGCATACTGAACATCAGCTAGCATCAGGCCTGATTTTCCACTAGATGTCTAACTGTATTGCAAAACTCACTGTGTTAGATGTTGTGCACCTCTACAGCTCACAGAAATAACTCCAAAAATTAAAAATCTGCACTGGAAAGCAAAGTGACATAGGAGAATCAGGGAATTAATGGACTGAGTTAACAGTAACACCCACCAGAAGGGAAAAGCAAGTACTGTTCTCTCATGATCTTGCTTATATTCATGAGTCATCTGAAAATTCTAACCAAACCTGAGTTGTCAAGGCTGCATGTCAAGCAAGCTCTGCTAGGCAGGTAGTGCCTATTCATCCAAGTTTAGGATGATGATGGTCTGAAAAAAATTATTTGCAATGCAAATTGTACATGAAAAGTGAGAGATATACTTAAAAGATAATACCTTAAAACACAGTAGACTACTCAAAAAAAGCACTGCTGCTGAATAACAAGTAACTTAGATAGACTACAGGGGCAAATAAAAGCTTATGTGGCCAGTGTCCCAGGCCTTCTAAAAGTCAGAGACACAGTTAAGTGCTACAGAAAGCCCAAGGTAGTAAACTCTGCTGAGAAGCAGCAAAGGCCTCTGTAGACATACTCACAGACACACTTTGGATTGCACTTCACAGCAATAACGTGATTTTCTTTTTTTTTTTTTTTTATCTGAACTAAGACCAGGGGACTAATGAAGCCAAGGTTAAACACAACTGGCCCATCACAAAAGGTAAGTTATGATGACAAAAGCAACAAGCTGCTGTATCACCGATATGTGAGCAGAAAGTGGCACAGATTTGCTCTGTAGAATTCATGATACAAGTTATGTACTCCAACGTGCATTATCACTTATGTGCAAAATTACTTTAAAATTGTAGAGAGGAAAGATGCTAGAAAGAAGTATTTTGCAGCACTGGCTAACAGCAAGTACTCACGTTCAGCAATTTGCTGCACAGGAAAGCCCAGATAGAAGCTGAACTCCACCACGGACAAGTTCCTCAGCTGCTCACTGACTTCGGACCCATTTAGAAAACCGGATCTATCTCGGATGGCAAAAACAATGCTCACGGGGCCTTGTCGAAACGCTACCCCAGGCCTGATCAGAGTTATGTTCAGTATCTGAAAAGACAGGATTGAAGCAGGGTCAGCAAAATCAAGTCACTGGCATTTTCATTCATTCCTTTACAGACTTTTTTCCCCACCTAATATGAAAAAGCGACAATTCACATCAAAACAGAGGAACATCTGTTCCAGATTGGTTCTGCCTGTTGAACCTCTCAGAAGAGGCAAAGTTACATGTGAATTCCTCTTCTAAGAGTTATCCTTTAAAGTCAGTCATAATCCAGAATGATCTGAAAGCTACTGTCCAGAAAATGATGAAAAAAACCACCTAGCAGGACAGTCAGCAAAATAGATCTAGTTGTAAAAAAAGTCTCAGATGAATGCCAAACTGCATGGAACAGACAGGAAGGAATCATGGTAAAGAAACATTTTGAAAATGGATGATCTCTTGGTTAAAACCTCCTGCACCATGCACACCCAAAACCCCACCACTGGTTAGAAGCCTTATTTTGGCAGCAATGTACACAGCAGCTGCGTTCATGCAGATAAACCTCCTCTAGACAGTAAGGAAGTATTTAAAATAAGTTTTCTAAGCTGATTGTCCAAGAAATGGTTCTGCATGTTCTGTCTTCAGTCTGTGCAGTCACATTGTGTCAGTTGTACATTTGTACAGTTCCGAGCCCTTTTCTATATGTACTACACAGTACCTTACGTACTAGAAAGTTTATGCCATTTTTCCTCCTGATTTTATCTCAGGGTACCACAGATAGGCATTTATGGTGTCAGTTAAACAACATGATATAATTTTTACTGATTTTGGTATTGCAACAAAGTTAGATTAAATTTAAGAACTCAGAAGAGGGAGTTGGTCTCATCAAACTGAATTAGTGACTTTTCAGGGAGTTTTAACCTCTGCTGTGTGATTCAGCACCCAGCACATATGCAATACCTGTCATGTATGAAGTTCCAGCAGCAGCTGTCAGAGATATCATATACTGTAAGTATTTCTAGACCTCAGAAGCAACCAGCATGTTTGGTCACGTGACGGCAGATTGCATATAACTCCTATATTCCCTCACAGAATCCCCTGCATGGCAATGAGACCTGAAAGTTGTCTTCCAACAAAAACTTTTTAACTACACCGTACTCTCTTATAGTAATATCTGATGGGAATTATTTTGATAAGGGTTGGAACAGTTTTTATTTGAAAAACTACAAACCCTATCATATTCAATAACGCTTTTGCATATAAGTCATCATCTTGGGTCAGTCTTTCAAAAAGCTTGAAACCAGGGGGATATGTGCAAGTTGCAGTCAGTGAACACCTAACTCATTTTACTGTCTGGATGAAACACAGGACAACCAAAGGTGAGGAAAAAAGGGACAGACACAAAACATGCTTATCTTCTTACCTGCACAGTGAAGTTGTAGAACTCCTGGTGTTTGTTCACCTCCAGGAATGCCATTGTCAGCCCTTTCTCAATGTGCTGGCTAAAGTTGCAGAACCCAATATCCATATTTCTAGGTACAAACTGAAGCACTGAAGACAAAGGGCACACATTATTCCTGCAGATAAGTATTTCCACGAGAAAGAATAAAACAAGCAACAGAATCCAAAGGGCTATCATTTTTTTTTCATGGAGCTCTGGACTTATTCAGTGAAACACTGGGTAAAAATACAGTAGAAATACATTTTGTGCTGCTGCAGTAAATTCTCAACTCACTAATATCTGTTGCAGCAGTAATTAGATTACTGAAAGATACTAGTGACAAAATACCTGCTGTTTCCTCCTGTATACTAAAAGACCTTCACTTCATACATGTGGCTAACTTCACATGATTTGAACACTAAATTGGCCTCACTGAAATCCCTAGTACCCAACAGCTCCATGAAAATCTTCAGGAAAAAAAGCAACAAATATCTTTTGCTTGTAGACTGAAATACAAGTATTTAGCTTGTCTAAAAAACCATGACTGCACTTTAGCATCACCCTAACACTTTCAAAACACTAAATTAGCACATAATCTTTTAAATTTAGATACATTTTAAAGTCTTTCAGAGGAGAGAAAGAGCGAGCACAGGAGAGAAACACTGAGCATAGGGGAATGTGATCAGGCGCACAGACTTAACTACATGCACATCTGTGGATTTCCACATAGTCTTACCCCAAAAAAAGCCATATTAGGTTACAGACCCTAATAGCAATGTTATACCAGGTTCAAGAACAGAAAATATGTCAACTGCCTATCTATATAACCATGTTAAGCAGTGGAAAAAGACATCACACCTGTACAATTGAAAAAGTGATGTCTTGCAATACAATTATTAACAAAAGCAAAACCAACAAATGAAACATACCCAAATAACAGTACTATATTGACATTTATTACCTCTCTGCCTGTATGCTCAATCCCTGTCACTACCTCATTACACAGTCAACCAACCAGGCAGGCAGTTTCATCATGCAAATAGGACTTGGAAGATTTTAAATGACACCATTGAGTCTCAAAATCTGTTACACGGGTGCTATTTTGCTTTAGATTATTAATAGTCATGAACTTCACATAAACTGCTGCAATACAGCAGCCATGGAAAGCTAAATACTACATAAGCAATCCTACTGCTCACATACATGAGCAATCAATCCTCCTGCTCACCAATTCTCCTACATTATGACAACACAAAAAAGTAGCATTTAACATAAACTTAATTTGAAACTTGACACAGGCATTACAAAGTAGCTGCACTATGATTTTATGAATAAATATTTCACAGCATATTTTTCTCTTCTTGCCTTTTGAAGCAAGAAAAAGAGCACATCTATTTCGCAATGTACTAAAAAAGAAATTCCTGAAAAAATCATGAAATTATGGGGTTAGCAGTTTACAATTTATCATCTCTCAACCACGGACTTGTCAAATCTGTCACTAAAAATGTAGAATTAAGATTCACCACAGTAGAACACAGGGTTTTGACTCAATCTTGCATACGTAATCACAAGTGAAGAAGTGTGAATCAATATGAAGTTACCTTTCCCCCTCTTTGTATCAGGAGGTACTCACCTGTCTGAACTTGAAATCTGTTGTCTGGCACAGTGAAAGAAGGATGCAGTGAGAGGATCATGGGGGCCTCACCACGAAGGAGACTGCTGTTCACAAGCACATTTATGACAGCTATTGCCGTGTAAACAAAAGGACCTGATGTCACCAAGAAAGCAAATTTGGGGGAAATTTTATAAACCTACCAAAAAAAAAAGAATCAGAAATTAAAAAAATAACAAAACTTCAATGTTAAATTTGGCAACATTTCAGACCTACATAGTCTCAGGCAGTTCAAAGCCACATTGCCAAGAGGTAGGAAACCACAATCTTTATTTTCAAAGAGCAGCAGAACCACACGCCCTCTGTTAGTGCTGTGCCTTGCAGCCTCTGCTCCACTGTTGCATCTGAGAGGTGACTCCCCTGTGGTAGGTACAACTACTAGAATCTCTTCAGTACAACACACTAACCTCAATGCTTCTTGATTTATCACATCCCTACATAGTAGCACTCCCCCTCGCCTGCATTCCCCTGGAGTACATAATATTTTCCATACAAAATTTCTGTTTACTTACTGAACTGCTTGTGCAGCTTCTGCAGTTCAGTCATATACTGCATAGTGAATATCTCCTATGCCACTCACATCTGACACACAAGGAGTAAAATACACATAACCTATGTTTTATGGATATAATTTTCACACTCGAGAACACTTTCTTCCAGGGAACACTTCTATCTGCTTATTTCAACACAGTTACCACAATTAGTTTTCCTCTTCCAATTCACATCTTGACTTTGAGTCTTCTTAAAAACCCCGAGGAGCCTTAGACATCATGCAAAAGAAGTGAGATTTTAATATAAACCCTGATGAATGTTTCCATGCAGACACTATTTTCTACTATTTTTCAGTCACCTAAGTAAGAACAAACTGAAGGGGTTTATTTCCCCAGTATTATTTTCTTCTTCTTTGGTTTATTCTTCCAGTTTGCTTTATTTCCCACAGGCAGTCACATTTCAAAATATTTTGAGGTGTCCAACATGATAGCCTCACAGATAAATAACCTAGAGACCTCAAGTTTCTAATAAATATGGACCTCTTAGATGAAGAGATGCTAGCACCTTGCAGGTGCTGTGATGGTGAAGGGATTTGTTAGATACCTTCAGCTTCAGAATCAGCCTTATAGAAAAGCACAGTGTTGCTTAAATTGTGACCCACATGTTCCTTAGTGGTATTTCTGCTGTAGTATAAAGTAATGGCAACTGCTGTTTAGATGAGACAGCAAGCAGCTCTTTCCTGTCCTCTAAAAAGCATGCATTTCAGAGAGCTCATCTTCATCAAAAGAAAGTACCTCAGTAGCAGAAGGAAATGAGAAAAATAATCTATGCTGCTCATTATGCCTTTCTTCCTTCTTAGCCCACAAATATATGCAACATCCAGCTTTTATTTTAAATGGATTTAGGCCCATAAAACTCAAATTTGTTTGATATGAATAATGTGCACAGCTCTTTTCAGTTCCTCTTATCTGAAATTTTATTCTTTTATCTCATGATGAAATAATCTCTGCAGCTTCAGTTTGTCAAATGGAAACAGCAGTTATAATGGGGAACACATGGCAAAAGAAGTTGCCCATTACTTGCAAACGAGACTACTTAAAAGGCAAGAAAAAGAGGAATTAGAATTACAAATTTCAGTGACAATTTGCTGGTGATTTCTGAAGGAATATATGCTGAGGAAGAGAGGCCTAGTGCAGCCAGCATATGGTTATGCACTAGTTAGGTATTTCAGACACAAAAGCAAGGTCTGATAACTAACTCAGCTGCCTCCATCTCTGACTGGCTGCACTGCACCCTAGAGGCCAGGGTAGCCTGAACATCCCCCCTGGAATTTTGCATTAATTTTTTTCAGCTTAACAGCTAACATTGGTTCCCTTTTGTGCTTCGCTGCACCAGAAAAGTTGCAGCAACTCCAGAAAGGACATCAAAAACCCCCCACTTCTAAAAGTAATTTTGAGGTAGGCAGATTAGAACAGCTACAAGTCAAAACAATAGTTATTTCTGCTTGAGATATAACAGGGTTGTCTAGAGTAAGCTCTCTACAACCTCATTCATGTGACAGAAATAACAGACCCATGCCAGCCTACAAGCTAATTCAGAGAGAAGTCTACAAATTTACCTAGGATAGATGAGCACAGCTCATGACTCTTGATATGTGATTCATGAATAAGAATAGCTGCTCTTGGCACAGCTCTAATGGTTCACAAACCCAGCTGTCCATCCAACTCTCGGAATTTTCACCTCTACTGCCAGGACAGCTAGATGCAAGCAAATCAGGTAGCTGAACCATTCACATTTTAGAGTATCACCTATTAAAGTACACAAGCACAGATTTCTTACATTAAACAAGTACAAAATTTTTATCTTAACACTTTGGGCCAGAAAGTCAGAAAAACATGCACATGTGCACTGTGAAGCCATTCCCACAGCAAAAGCGGAAACCTTCAGTAGGAGCAGAGAACCCCTACAACACCTAAAGTTAAGCTAACCCTTCTCCAAAGCACGTCTAACCCAACTCTGCTGTTTTCAGGATACAACCTATCTCATTCCCAGCTACCCTCACAGGAGAGAGTGCTGCTAGTACAGAAAGTTTTCAAGCCTCAGTTTACCAGAGGCTAGAAGAGTATTTAGGAAAAATATCACTGTATCCTTACTCTGTTTCTTATGATGTCCCCGAAGCATTTCCTATTGAATTACTATCTGCTGAAATATTTGATTAGATGCACCTTTGCCACAATCTAATCCATGCCCACACTGCACTGTACCATGCTGTGTAAACATCTGGCAGAAAGCATGAACAATTTCCTCACTACCACCTTATTAAGCATCCTGTAAAGAACCTGTAGAGAGTGTTTAACTTCCTGAACATGGACTACAAAGGCTTACAGGTTTTAAAAATGAAACAATGCTTCTGCTTTCATGCACTTCAAGATCCTAAGGCAGCAATTCTCATTGTTTTTACACACCTCAATGATACCAGCCAGAACTTCAGCAGCAGTGAGCAGAGATGAAGCCAGGACGAGTCCACAAGGTGGCATCTCTGAAAGGAGTATTTAACTGCCTGACAATGAACTGAACTCCTTCCTTTGGAGGCAGAGTGTACTGATTTTGGATTACAGAACCCAATAGGTTAAGAACACACCCCAAACCGCACATTAAATACAACAACAGAGTGGTTGAGGTGTACACTATACCTCATGATAAAATTTCCAAGCACAAATGAGGCTGGCAAAAACCTTTTTCCTGTTGGCATGAACTTAATGGCACCAGGGGTCCTGGCAGCAAGTCACTGCCAACAATATTTTATTTCACACCCCACCACAACAAGTCAAGTCAAGGGAACGTTGTATAACAGATTTTACTCAAGTGTCATAAGGTTTACATTACAGAAAGTTGACAAAAATTACTCTTATTCAGACATTACGTCTTATTCTTTTGCAGATGCAATATGTTGAGACCAACTGAAAAGAACTTTGAAATTTTAGGTTATTCTCACTTCGCTGTAAGGACCTTTGCTAGGAAAAAATTGAAAAAAGTTTTTTTTTTTCCACTTGGCAGGATTCAAGCCTGCTTCTTTTTTTTTTTCTTCCACTTCAACAACTCACAATGTTTGAAATAATAAAAAAGGAGAGACCAAAGCTGCAACTGAAAAAGTTGGAAAAAAATTTTTTAGTTCGCCTTTTAGTGTTAAACTTGTTTCCTATTTAAAGTGAGCAGCAGTTATAGTCATCATTGAGATGAGTTTTATTTTTAAAGTATATACTACTACAAAGTCAAATTTAACTAGACTGTCTCCTGATTTACTGTACATTATATCACAGCAAGGGAACATCTGTGAGCTGTAATACGAGACACAGTAAAAAAGCAGCTTAGAGAAGCTATACCATAACTTGCAAACATACACATGGTTTCTGAGTACTCTTAACTAAAAAAAGTCAGGTCTGTTTGACTAATTAAGTTTAGTAAGATAGACAAATTCTGTTTAAAATTCTGCATTACATCACCATTTGACATACTGCTATTATAGGCAGCTCTTTTTTTTAAATAACAGTTTTGTTAGTATTTGACTGTTAGAGGTGAAGACATTTGCCAGAGATTATTTTTAGTGCAAAACCCACACCCAAGGCATCACAGAGAACACGTAAGACAGCAGCATTCTAGCATAAAATAAGCAAAACTGATTCCACAGAGATGTTTCTTCCTTTTCATAAAAAAGATTTTGCAAAGAATGAAGCTAGGCTAACTAAATTATTTATAAAAACAGATACTTCTGAGAAGCCTTAGGACTTCTCAGAAGCTTTTCCTATTGAGAGCTTTACAAGGTAATAGTAGGCATGACAGGAAGGAATTTAAAGGGCAAAAATACAAAACAGTATATCAAATGTTTGTTCCAATCAGCAGTCAAATATTCAGCAATGGGTTTTGTCTTACTGCTGTTAATATTAAGAAGGTAAGTGCTTCCATATTACTGAGTTGCATAAGGTCACTGGAAATCAGTGTAGTTGTATCTTCATGAACTTTTGACCTCTTGACTACGCCAGTTTGCACAATCTGAAAGTATAATTCATAAACTAGAAGAAAAATCTCTTATATAAAAAACCCTGAAAAAGTTCATTGCCAAAAGGAGCTAAACTAGACATAATTCATAGTGGCAGCTCACTGTAACTGAAGTTTGGCAGAAATTCATAACACTCCTATCTTGACTGAGTAGTAGAGAGGTATATTCTCAGGCAGGAGCTGTTTAATTACTGAGTGCAGTGATTATGGGAGGTGCAGAAGTTAAAGGCACCAAGGGATTCTGTGTATGGAGAAACTCAAGTTATGCTCAACATTCAAACTGCTCCTTGAGTTAATTTGATAATGAAAATGAGATCATTAACTCAGAAAAGATACTGTGGTGCTTGGCTATGACAACTAGATGAATACAGTTATGAAAAACTGCAAGTGCAGCTGAACCTCATCAACACCAGCAACTCCATTACAATATTTCCTTTTGTCCCCAGTGTTGAAGTAGATGATTGTACAACAAAGGTACATCCAAACTACCTCTACAGTCTTTTCCCATCTGACAGAGGGTTTGAGACAGAGGTGGGGAAGAGAGACTTTAACCCTCATCTCAACCAGACAGTCACCTGGAGGTTCGAAAACAACACTGATACATTGTTCAAAGAAGATTCCTTGAGTATCAAAGCAGAGGAAGCTTTCAGAAAAGCCCAACAGTACAGCAATTTCTAGCCCTATGAGTGGGGGGAGGACAGGAGTTACACATATCTAAAGGCTTAAAAATAATGTCTTACGATTGCACACCTGATTTTTTTCATCTGTTTTTTTCATCTGCCAAATCATGCATTTGGGATCCCACCACCTCCCCTGCAAGTGTTGATGGCCTCACTTACAACATTAAATAGCACAAGTTTGTGCAGAAGGTTTGGTTTTATTTATACTGCTAAGTATATAATCAGCTAGCAGAATGAACAGAATTTTTGAAGGGTAAAGGTTCTTCAGTTCAGTTTCAATTCACCAGCCAAAGGAGGTGAGCAGTGGAGTCTGGACACTTCTTGCTCACCTCTGGTAAAACCAAGAAAAATCTGTCATAGAAAATGATGACACTCTAAAAGTAAAAAAGCTGACATCACATTCATATTAAAAAACCCAACCACAACACAACTAACATTCAAGTTAAAATAAATCTCTCTCATACAATACCTCATGGACTGTTTGAATTACCATTTCAGCTTGTGAACTAAACCCACTATTGTATGACACTGATCAAAGAGTACTTGTGCACACTTCATACCACTTACCTCTAACTCTACTGATCTCCTGAACTGAACTCTGAGCACTTCTCTGATGGATTCACTGACATTTCGTAGAACAGCTCTTCGGGCCAGCACTAGAAATTAATATTAATGTCAGTCAGTAAATACATTTTAGCTTCATCTGTTGGGTTTTGATTCAAAGCTGCATTTTCAATTGGGCAATGCATGAAAAAGCAGGCAATGAGATCAACTGCATCAAACAGGTAAGACAATAGACAAGGAAACAGGTAAGACAATAGACAAGGAAACAGGTAAAGATGTGACTGTATCCTAAAAAGTGACTGTACATAAAGTTTAAGGAACTCAAGGTTTATTTTCTCTCCCATTTTGTTTTTTCATACCTAATGTCTTTAAAATTCTAGTAAAAGAATCTTCTAGAGAGCCACTGAGGCACTCAAATGGGATCTGAAAGTAACAGCACATTCAGTCTGACCTGTGCACAACAAGCCTGCTGCCACAACACAGTTAAAGTTTGGTAGGCAACGCATGGAATGCAGATGAGGTCAGAAAAAAGCCACAGAAAATATGGATCTACTTTTCTCCTAAATAGAGAGTAAACAAATGTGACACTAATTAATGAAAGGAATATCCACAGAGTAAGAAACGGCTTTAAAATCCCCACATCCCAATGGATGTCATGTCTGTTACAGTCACGCTTGCCACTTTGACTATGGGTTAAGCAAACAACTGAGAAGTGTCATGTTGTCATCCTGCAGTTACTTTCCATCAGTTACTTGCCTACAAAACTACTCAAATTACAGATTTAAAAAAAAAGTCTTCCTCATCGCTAGCATAGCTAGATCACTTACATACCTGGAGGATGAGATTATGCTCATTCTGCTTTACATATTACAATTAAATCTTAAGGGTAAAATGTGTTGCTTACCACAGAACATGCAGCACTTCTGCAGCTGCCCTGGATTAGTTTGCTGGTATTGTTTTGTTAACAAGCCAGGAAGAGGTAGGAAAACACCAGAAAAGCAAACACAGATGCTAAGACAATTAATTTTGAAACACATTAATGTCACTTTTTCTGGTTACAAACACACCAAATCCAATTGAAAGTAAGTATGGGAGAAGGGAAGATATAAATATAAGCTAGTAAGGGGAAAATTATAAAAATGGTAGTGAAACCCAAACATTTTTTAAACCGGTTCTCCTCTTACATATTACAACATTACCTCACATGCAGGTGGTTTTTTTTTTTTTTTACAAACAGCAGCAACAACTGAAAGGAGAAACTTACTCAGTCAGAACATTTAACATTTTGGCAGAACAGTACCATGACAGTAACATTCATTTACAACCCATGAAATGATAAAGCAGCCTCTAACTCAGCATACTCGTACATACGCATCAGCAATTTTAGAAGACAATTTAATTCTCTGTGCAGTGTAAGGTATATGTAACTCACTACTAAAATGGACTTTACTCAAGTGAATTCTATTATTTTAAGAGTAAATGATAAATCAATGCTTTTACAGCTCTTTGTCTAAATTGACACCATATTTCTTTGAAAGGTTCACTTAGTTAAGTCAACATCTGCAATTTAGCTAGGGGGTCACATTACTGTGGCCTCTAAAAAAAAACCCAAAATAAAACTGTTAGGAATATCTTACCTGCAGTGACTAAGTAAGCATCGGGAATGGTGATGTCGCAGACATACGGCTGCCTGGTAGTAGTCACAGCAGAAGTCACAACCACCAGTTCAGACGGAGTAGTGGTTGCCACAGGGGTGGAGGAGAATGTCCCTGGGCTGCCTGCAGCAGCTGTGCCATGGCTGCCTGTAGCACTGGTGACAGCGGTCGTGGGGACGCTGGTGGAAGGAGCTGATGCATCAGTGCCAGCAGTTACACTGCTTCCTGCTGGAACTTCATATCCAGTGGGAGGGCTAGAAGTTGGAGGAAACTGTGTGGGAGTAAATGCCACAGTCACAGACAGAGATGTTGTAGGAAAGGGCATCACGCTGATGGTGCTGGCGGCTGATGTGAGGTTGTCAGGGTCTGTGGGAGGAAGGGCTGTGGGAGCACTGCCCTCGCTGCGAGATGTTAAAAGCAGCGTGGGGTAAACTGTAGCACCAATATCCTCATCAGAAGCCAGTGCAGTTGAGAGCAGAGATGAAGATACATTTAAGACAGGAGTTGCTGGAAAGGTAGTAAACAAAGAGATCAGATTTGTTTCGCTGAGCAAGATGCTGCTGGTAACAGACTGGGTGTCCGAAGTGGGCAGCACCAGGGTAGGAACCACAGAGTGAAAGGTGGAGAGTGAAGGCTCCAACTGAGAGGTAGCTCCTGTAACAGCTGAGGTAAATACAACTTCAGAGCCCACTGGCAGTACCGAGGGTGCTTCCAGAAACACAGATGACCCAGAGGGAAAATCTGATGATGGCATTATTTCAGGAACATGTGCATCTGGAAGGGATGATACATTTGAATAAACGTACGACGTTTGGCCGAGATGTAACTGAGAAACCTTGGTGTCAGTGGCAGAGCTGACAGTGGTAGCTAAGTCCCAGCTGGTAACATCCTCAGAAAGTACTGATGTCCCAGTCAACAAGATCTGAGGTAAGAGTGTTGATAAATCACCTTGCCTGACAGAGTAAGAATCTAGCATGGTCGATGATAAAGATAAGTAGCTAGATTCAATAAGAAACGGTGTTGATAAAAGACTGGATGGAAAATCTGAAATCTTTAAAGACGGTTCCTCACTCGTAAATGTCTTGTCAAGCAAAACCACAGATTCTGATGGCATTAATTCTGGCAATTCCAGCAAAGTTGTCCGACTGATTGAAAACGGCGCTACTGGCTCACTCGGGATGATGGTAGAGTCAAACAGAACGGTGGTGGCACCAGGAAGTTCCACATGAGTGCTTAGTGTCAATGAAATTGTTTCCAGAACAGGGAGGGATTGGGCAACAGAGATATTCAATGACATTCCTCCAGGGAGCTGATGGTAGGAAGGAGAAATGGTTATAGGTGTTCTAGTGTCTGTAGTGCTTACTAAAATGCTTGAATCAGGGATCTCTGCAAATCTTGAAGACAATGAAACAACTGGTCTTGATGGAAAAGAAGTATCAAAAATCTCAGGTGTAGGTTCCTCTAATTCATACCCATCAGTAATTATGCTTGTAAATGGAGTTACGCCTTGTACCTCAGAGGCTTTGATGGACATAGTTTCAACATAATCGCCTGAGCCCACATCATGTTCTGGGGAAAAGCCTGCTTCTGGCAGAAGTGAAACCGAGTCACAATACAGGCAGTAACTGTATGATCTTGTGAAAGGCACTGGACTCATGAGCTCACTGACAAGCTCTGATTGACTTGGTATTTCTGAACCGGCAGGCAAATTTGGTGCTGTAGTGGAGAATTCACGTGTAAACAGGTTGGCATTAAGAACTGTATTAGAGTTCCTGGAAATGGCAGCTGAGTTAAGTGGGAAAGACACAAGTGGAAGACTAATAGGAAAAAAAGCAGGTGCAGCACTGGCTGCTGAAGTTGGCGTGGCCCAGGGAAGGCTTGGAGTGGGGTATGTCCTTAGACTGAGAGATTCTGCTGCCTTGGTACTCCCATCGGTGTAAATGTCACCATACAGGTCTGCACTTTGTGCTGTGGCATCTGGGATCTCAGGGCTAGTTTTACCCAGCAGTTTGAGATGAAGAGGCAATCCTTCTGAAGCAGTCCCAAAAGGCAGAGCTGTTAAACTCACATTAATGTTTTCCTGTGCCACAACTCCACTCTCTGAAGGGAAGGAAGTGAAATGAATAGCTGCATTTGGAGGGTACAACAGCAAGTCTCTGCTTGCTGTTAGCGTTTCACGATCTGGTACAAAAGGTTTTAGTTCTGTAAGAGTGTTACTGCGTTCAGGGATGGCGCTCAACGGAGTCTTCTGCTGTGCTGTTTTTGAGATATCATATGGCGAAAAAAGGACAGATAATGAAGGTGTTAGCAACACAGTTTCTAACATTTCTCTTGATGGCTCTACTGTATTAACTGAGTGATGATCTGTTAAAACTGCAAAAGATTTCAGCGGAGGAGTCCACTGTGCCTTTGAAAATGAGCTAACAAATTCATTGTCACTTAAGAACGCCTCATTGCTTGTTACGGAGACATCTACCAACAGCGTACTTCTCCCTTCTGAAATCCTGGCTGTTTCTTCTTGGCTAAGTAAAGTCACATCAAAGGAAGTGGTAACTGATGATAAAACCGTTTGAAGCAAATTACTTTCTTGGGACTTCAAATCACTTTTTGCTAAGGCCGTTTGTGTCCTGCTGCCTGATATGCTTTCGTGCACCTTTAAGTCCATTGAGAAAAAGGAAAAATTCTGCTGCCCCAAGGATCTTTCATCTAAGTAAAGAGGGAGAGAGAAAAACAAAAGCCAACAGATTGGTACAACTAGTAAGATCACAATGAGCATACCTCACACACGGTATTTCTGGAGACACATGCCCAGAATTCAAGGGTGAAGACAAAACCTCCGTGACCAAGTCAGATCAGACAAATCGTAAGATTCCCTATGAAACTCCATTTCTTGGAAGTGAGCCAGGCAACACAAGCTCCTCTCACTCTGCACTGACTTGTCTCTACAGCAGCACTCTACTGAGCCCCATGGATGGCCAGAAAGTGACTCCCTCTTACCTGTGCAAGGCTACAGTGCGTGGCAGCAAATGGTCTCACAAAGTACACACACCAAAATTTTACATAACTTTAGATATGCTGTTTTCCTTTCATATCACTTCATTTCCTCCAGTTATATTATTTCTTCATATTATATATATATATCTCACTAGAAGATCTATTCTCTTTCAAGGACCAGATCCTCCCTCAGAAATGAGTGACACTTATGAGAAATGAAGAGGGGTTCCCTTTACAGAAGGCAAATGTGGACCTGGTATCAACCACACAAATTTCCTAAGTAACATGTCCACTAGTTACGCTTACATTGTCCACCATTCATCTCAAGTCTGGCCTGTTAGCAGTGACAAATTGCTTCATTACACAGTTGTCACCTTTATTCACAGCCTTCTACATGACTGTTCTGTTTACGGGCCACCTGTAATAAAACTTTCACTGCTCCAGTTTCCAGGGTTCAAGTAGTAATGGCCAGGGGAGAAGAAAAAGCTAAGAAATTCACCAGATACTTTAACAAAATACTCTCCTCTCTCACAAAAGTGTTCTTGGGTTACAGAGAAGATCTGTATATAAGCTTTTCCAACCACGGATGAGTTTTGCAGAGAAATGGTTGATTATTGCTTGAATACTTTCCTGAAATGCCAAGACTGGATTAATAGCATTCAGAGCTGAATTATTAAAGGAAATCACAGAAAATTGCTGCAGAATATTTTTCAAGGACACACACAAAAGGTTCATCCTTAATTCATCTATCCCACCTGACCATCCTGTTTTCATACAGGAGTGTCCAGGCACTGCTGCTGGACACACATTAACAAGGCTGGGGGTGCAGGAATCACATCCAGTTAAACCACCAGGGATCAGTTTAAAATAAAAATGAGCATATACAGTACAGAGGGCTGGACAGTGATACAGTACACAGCTCAACTGCAACTACATCTGTGACCCTTTAGAGGATGCCTTGAACTCAGTAACGCATGGAAGATCCTGCAGGAATAGCTCATCTAATCGGTTACCCACTGTTGTCAGTATAACACCACCTACCAAAGGTGATAAACTGCTCTCCTTATTCCCTCCACCCTGGTCTGTTTACTTAACTTTTTGACAGAACTTTTTAAGTGCTGACACACCAACTTGATAAGTTTTGAAGGTGCTGCTCTAAAAAGCACAATGACAAGAATTAATGCACAGAGCAAATACCACTGTGCCACTAATGATACCTAACCAAATAGGAGTGCTGTGATTACATCCCTTATTTGACAGATTTCATGGACAATGTTTTGCAGCACTGCAGATACTATTCTCTCAAGTAGTCCCAGTCCATTTTTAGCTCCTGAAACTCACTGTAGGCATTACCAGCTTTATGATGCTTAGCTGTGGTATAAAATATATTGCCTTACAATGCTCTCAGGTGAAGGGAAAAAAAGAGAAAAAACACTCTTGTAAAAGCTATGTAAGACAAATACACAAGTCCATCCTCAACCTCTTCCATAGAGGTCTACTGTTTGAACACAGTACAGCGCAGTCATCATGGAATAACAGCTTTCACAAGGAGTTAACACAAGTAACAGCTTCTCGCAAGCACAGGACCAAAAACATACGCTGAGCCAGCTCTGTTTGCTGACCAAAAGCTGTTCCATGTTTTTTCCTCACTAGAAGCCTCCCTGGCCTTGGTTCCTTTCTTTGACTTAGGCTTCCAGCCTTTATTTTTCTCTTTGTGACATTTTGAGTAAGCAGGGAGTTACTAAAGGAAAATACTTACAAAGCTATGAAAATTAATCACTTCCCTCCCTATATGCATGCACAATTCCTTTTAGCCAGCCCTGTAAAATCCTGTCCACCTTGGTCACACTTCGGACACCCAGCCCTTGCTTACAGTGAATTCCACACTGCAGGTAAACATGCTAACAGAGAAAGCAGTTCTTGCTCATGATGGCTTCATGCTGCAAATCCCTGCAGCAGTACACAAGGCAGCTGTGTTAGCTTCAACACAACATATGTATGGTAAATGCAGAGCTGATACACCTGACAGCTAATATGATCAGGCAAAGGTGAATACACCCTAATTAGTAACTGCACTTTTGATCACACATTTCCACAAATCTTTGACCCAAAGCTAGCGGGGATTTCACAACTTTACTGCCTATACATGCCTATGCTGCATATCAATTTCCTTCTTCACCCATAGAGAGCTCCTTTTATCTTTGTTCAACTTGATCGGGAGCTGTCATATGGCAAGATCCTGCTGGAAGTGACTACATGTCACAGAAAGATGTTTTGAAGAGTTACTTGCACAACCATAAGCTGTCCGACAGACATGCAGAACAGGCAAGGCCAATCTTGGATTTAAATTCTTTCTGACTTTAGAATTAGCTTTTGGGGTGGTTTTTTGTTTGTTTGTTTGTTTGGGTTTTTTTGTTTGTTTGTTGGGGTTTTTTGACAGTCTGGTATTATTTTTTCCTTGAGAGACAAAGTAATAGTAAATAACAATTTTATCATTGTGCCTCCTAATGTAAAGAATATTGCCACTGATGTCAGGAAGGAAAGAATACAGCTTCTGAAGCAGGCGTTTCATTTTATGAAGGAAAACACACTGTGTCATGAAAAAGTTACAAGCTATAAGACAAGTTAAGAGCAGTGCTACTTGAGTTAAGTGGAATGGGAAAAATTCACCTGGGCATATAGGATTTTGAAATAACTCCTCACCAGCAAGTTCAGGAGTTGATGTTCCACACTATTTGCTTTGCTTAGTGTTTTAGAAGCAGGGAGCATTAGTGACATGCCATTAATAACACAAATTGGTGTTTTCTGTCGTCTCCAGAGAACAGTGTACCACTTGAATCCTGCTTGTCAGAACTGAGCGTGCCTCTCAGGGAGAGCAGATGGGACGCGTGGCAGATGTGCCTGGGAGCAGCCAGACAGTCCACAAAGAGCAAGGAAAAGCAAAGGAAAAAGAGACGGAGAAGGCACACCATGGCATGACAATCGCCCTCATCAGTGCAGAGTGGCCGATCTGGCTATAGCATGGGACAAAGAAAGCAGACAGATTGCACATGTTCTGGGGCATCTCAATGCCACGACTGCACAAAGCTATTGATGAATATCAATGCTGACTTGTTTGTTTGCACAGCTGCTACTGTCGGGTGACAGTTTCCCCCGTACTGCCGTTGAGTGAGGCAAAGGGGACAGGCTGATGATCAGACAAGCCAGACTCGGCCAAGCTGATAACATTATGAAAAAGAATAGATAGCTTAGGGAACAAAGCTGTGATCCCAAGCTACAGCAAAGGGGAGGAAAGGCGAGCACTAGTGGCAGGGACCACAGGAGGCACAGATGGCACCAGTACAATGCCTCAGCTCAGACAAGGGCACAGGAGGAGCAACAGCATAGGAAGTGTGCTGGTGGGCTTGGGGTGATGAACTCTCTGCTGCTTCTGCTGTCTCCCAAAACTGATACGAGTCACAAGCAATTCACGAGTAATGAAACCTGTCACTGAACACAACAACCCCTTTAACTGCCAGATCCATAATTACAGAAGCACATCCCTGCAACCAGTAACGCTGGTGTAGACTTGTGTGAATTTGAGAAGCACAGCACTTCCTCATGACTACAGCAAAGGACTGCTGCAGTCCACAGACTTCTTTGGGAACAAAAATATACCATCTCTGCTTGCCAGAAAACGATGTGTGTTCATAAACTAGGAACTAGGCTAGTCATTTTTCCAGAAAGCAATTAGAGGGATGCAGATTTCATCCTTCCTGTAGTTGCAGTGCTAAAAAGTAACGTCTGTTCTATAATCTATAATGATAATTTTTAAAAGTTTCAAATATGTATTTGTAATAATATATGTACATAATCAAGTGCTTTCGTATTTTCTTTAATTATAATAAATATACGTTCATATATTTTTAAATGCAGGATGCAGATGTAATCTCACCTCTGCCACTGATGTCTCATGTGACTTCAAAAAAGTTGCATCATTTCTCTGCACTCTCCTATTAAAATGTGGCAATTGTACAATATCACAATTCTCAGTATCTACTAAAATGTAGGTAATTTTCTATATTATGAAGACGTTAAACTATAGATGAAAAGTACAATCATGACAACAACAGAGAAATCTTTACTTGTGATAAAATTAAACCTTGAGAATAGAACTAATAATTTTCGTTTTGTCACTTTTGAGAAACCACGTAATTGCTAATAAAGTATACAAACATCAGAAAGTGCCACTAGACTCTTCTGTGTACTAACACAATGATATACAAAATTAAATTTTAGTAGCTTTATCTTTTAGGCATGAAGAAAAATTGCTCTTTTATTGCTGCCCATTGTTTCAAACTGATGCATTTTAGGTAGAAAGGCAGCCAATGTTACATACATTCCAAACATTATGGGAAAATTCCTAAATAACTATGTAACAACAGCTCCCAAATTATTGAAATTAAAGCTATGAACTCACTAGGCACATTCACCACTTGAAACAGCTCCCTGACTATGGGGTAGAGTAGCATAACACATTTAAGGGAAGCTTTTAATAACACTAAGTTTTTCCTTGAGAAATGGAAAGTAAGAAATTGAAGTTACTGAACACATCATAGGATGAGACCACCCAAGGGTAGAGAAAATGATGGATGAAAATGTATCTTAAAAAAATCATAACTCTTCCTTCCTAAAGCTTAACACTTAATAACTTTCCAATGTACTTAACAGCA